GCATAGGGGGCAATAAGCTATTTCAAAGCTAAGCAAATGTAATTTCCACACCTATTCACTTTTAATTTAAGTCTATTTAAACTTTGGGGACCTTTCCATTGCTAATTTGTTATGGTGATATTAATGAATAGTTCTGCTTTCCAAAAGTAAAAATGCTGCTTTTTTCAAAGAAGATGAATTAGCATGGAGGGAATGAGACTAGAAAAATAATCTGCGAAGTGGTCAAAGGCAGCTGGAGGTCACCCGGGCATTCAGGAGCAGGACTGAGACCTGGTGCAGACAGCTTATCTGTGTCCTGCAGTGCAAATGTTGCTAGAGTGGCCGCAGACTTTGTCCCCAGGTCCACTGATAATTCTAGGAACACACTTCATGAAATGGGACCATGTACAACAGTCTGATCAAAATGTGCTTTAAAATGCTCAAAACTTAAAAAAGTGGTTCTTTTCAATTATTTTGTATATTCCCATGTTTTGTTTCCCCCCATTTAATATTAATAGCTGCCAAGAGCAGGACATAGAATAAGGTACTGAGGAAGCATGTGGTGCAATGAAAGACTTAGCTAGGACTGAAGCCATAAGGATAGTTTTCCCTAAAATGACCTTAAAGGACTCCATTCGAGCAGCCAATCTGTATGAGTTAGTTTCAAAGGTGTTCCCTCTCTTACTCCAAGGGAAAGGTGTATTTTAGTTTCTTTGACTAAATCTTTTCTTTGCAGGCATATCAACACCAATGATCTTGCCATAGAAATTTTAAAAAATGAAAAAAAAGGAAATAATTAATTGATGATGAATGAGAAGTCTACAACTAACCCAATAAACTATTTTTTTTAGAGTTACTATGTGCCAGGATGATTTTTATTTTTTTAAAAAATAGCATTACTATAGTATACTTTGTTCTCTTTTCTAACAAGTTTTCATGGAAAGGAAATACTAAAAAATATGCTTTTATTGCTGAATTGATGCTTTTATGAATTCAACTCTTTCATGCTAGGTGTGGGAAGTGAAGACCAAAGAGAGAATAGGTTTTGTGATTTTATCATTTTTCATGACTATGCTTCCAAGGTAATGCGTATTTATATTCTCATGTGGTCTTGTTCTTACTTCCAAGTATCTGGTTAGCCCAGAGGAATATTGTACTAGTTGCAGATAAAGAAAACATGAAGGATTTGGACTGAGCCTCCCAGCCATCTCCTGGTGGGTACTGCAGTTATCAACAGATATTTATGGAGTCCCTGGCCTGCATACTCTGTCAGTATAGTAAACCTTGAACATTGAAGTCTGCCCCATGCTTTAAAGAATTTAATGGACACTTGGCTTATCCACTCTGGCCAAGAGTCAGATCTCAAGAAATTGAGAGTGTGAGGCCAGGCAGGTTCTACAACACACCCTCCAGGTACAGAAAAGGGTGAGGATGCAATTATAGAAAAATCACACTTGTGATTTAAAACTTCATTGAGAATATCATGCTTTGGAACTTACTGTTTCAGAATCCCGACTGCAAACAGGTCTGGATTATGAGCACAATGACTAAGAGCATGCCCACAGATGCACCATACAGGCTTTGGAGGTAAGTTGGCACAGGTGTTGCTGCCTTACAATTGTTCTTGCTGGGAAGCAAAACCCTGACCTGCTCTTTGGTGTAACCACCCCAGGTGGAGGCTGAGAACAGCCCATAATACTCTCAAGGTGCACAAGTCCCAGGCAGAGCAGTTCTCCAACTAGGAATCAGGAGGACTCTCCAACAACCAGGAGGTTCCACTTTCTGGAATGCATACTGCTGATCCCACTGGAGAACCTACTACGTTTCTTCCAACAGCATCTTAAACATGCTACTCTAGCTATTCCTAATGAGCTGTCACACATGAAACACTCTTCACAGACTATCACTTACACAGGAGAATTCTTACTAAGATAGCTTTGAAGCTTTGTTGGTAAGTCCCAGCCATTGGTTAAAGCATTAAACAGACCCAGCATCTATTGGCAGCTATAGAAGTGACATGTGGATCATTGAAACACACTTTGGTTTGTTGTCCTGGCAGTCTGACTGCCTGTGTGTAGCAAAGCATGGATATTTGGGCAAAGAATATTAAATACTGATGTTTTTCAGTACCCAAGTTGCAGAAATTGCATTCTTCCAACCATGCTCCTAAAGCTGACTTTAGTGGAGGTGTCATTGCTCAATGGAGGCCAAGCCTGCCTTTTTCTGAGAGCATGGGTACAGATTTGAGAAGATGTTTGGTTAGCTCCACCCATAGCTGTTATTAGGAGAGAAGTTGCATACAGATCATGAAGGGCCATATTTCTAGGGACTTAAAGGTAAGAGTCATGCTTCCATAGTCATGCTGCCCCTAGGAACAGGGATCTGGCTGAGCAGGAAGCAAGATGAATGTGGATGGTCCATGCTCTATAGATGGGGGTCCATGGTGAATAGATGGTTCTATGACCTATAGATGGAGGTTCCATGTACTATTGATAAGCAGTTCATGATTTATAGACAGGCAGATGCACAGGCAGAGTTCCTGGGGTGGTGGGGTTTAGGCAGCATTTACAGTGATTCTTGAAATCTTTTCTTTTGATTCCCCCCCGACCTGCCCCTGAATCCAGACTCCATTGAGACAAGGTTTTAATTCAAACTGCTTGGGATTCCCTGTCCTGAGACCTTTGGTCAAAGCTGGCCCCCACCCAGTTGAGGGGTGCACATCTCAAGGGGGCTGAGAGGGAGGATAACAAGCCCCCCTGCTTGGAGGCATGCCATGGTGTGATGAATGGCCTGCAACCCTCACGCCGCTCTGCGCCCTTCATCATCCAGTCGGAGTGGTTAGCAGACTGTCAGAGAAAAATAATTTAGCAGCCGTGGCTTTAACTGATGTGCTGCATTCTGGGGTCAAATGACTATTACAAAGTGGTAGCGCTGCCTGGTTTCTCCATCGTGAGAGCTCAGGGCTGACAACATGAAAGAAGGAGGCATCACACCCAGAATTCACAGACATCCTTCAATTTCTCAGGGTGGGAAGCTGCAGAGAGGGGTGGGGGAGGCAGAGTACATTTCCTACTAGATGGAGGAATCTCAGCCTGGCTGAGAGCCCCCGGCAGGGTGCCAGGGTCTTGCTATAGCAGTATCAGGTTGGATGAGAGTAAAATAGCAGTGGAAGGGGGGGGGCACAGAACACTGGTGGAGACCTCTCCAAGAAGGTGGCAAGAGACACTCCCTGACCAAGGTCATGCCAAAGGTCATGTGCAGCCTCAGGGAGGGACAAGTTGCCCTGCTCAGCCCTTCCCTAAGCAGCAGGGGTAAAGCACATTCATGGCTGTTTTGGCAAGTTCAGAGGATGGATAATAGAGAAACAGAACAGAAAGGAAAAAGAGAGGAAAATAAATAAGATGTAGGCAAAAGAAAGGAGAAGGTCAAGTCCCAGAAAGGTCCACTGGGAGATGTGTGGGGACCTGTCTGGAAGCTGTTCTTGCTTTTGTAGTTCCCTGTTTTCACTTGGATTGTGTATTTATTTGATGGTGAGGTCTAAAGGCTAGATTATGGAGATTATGGTCTAAACCCCTCCCACCTGTAGCCTTGAATGATCATCAGGTTTTAATAAATATTCGAACTTAAGTGAATGAACAGGAGGTAGAGGTGGGAGGAGAAGGAGTCCTCTCTCCATCTGAGTACTTCATTTATTTAGTCTCTCTCTTCTCTTGTCCAGGCTTTGTGAGAAGCAGAACACTTGCTTTGCCCATTGTCTATCCCCTGTCTGCTCAGAATCAAATAAATATGGAGTGAATAAATAAGTCAGTGCTCTACTCAGCTTGGACTCCGTGTGTGGGAGTCCTTTATGTACTTTGTGTCTGCATGCAGTATGAACAAGTAGCTGAGGTTTTGGTGGTACCCAGCTTTATTTAACAGATTCGTGATCTCCCACCACAAAATAATGGATTCCTTTCTAGGTGTTGTGATGCAGTGATGGTGGCGATCACAGAAATAACTTACAATTATCATGTACTTATGATGAATTCCGCACCAGGCTAAGTGCCTTTTAACTATGTAAAGTGTTTCTTTCCTTGATTGATGCCCCAAATGAATAAAGATAATTTTTCTGTATCTACTACATTAGTGATGCCCACAAATAATTCTCACAATGATAAGAAAAAAGATAATTTGCATAAATAAGCAATTACAAGACTTGGCAGAATAAGGCTGTTTTAAAATAGTATGAGAATAGTTCCTGCCACACAGGCCATGCTAAAAATGGTTCTTTAATGGGTGACGGTAAGCTCACGTAGGAAAGCAGACCCATGATCGTGCATGCAGAGGCCAGGGAAATGATAATGTCGGCGGAGTAAAGCAAGACTCCAGTTGTTAATTTTCATTTCCACCGACCTCTGTCTTCCAGCACATATTTGCCCTCTGACCCTGAGACTCCACCAGTGTCCTAGGGAGGAGCCCCCACCTGGCATGCATCTAGGGCCCCAGAGGCCACTGGCCTCCAACCAGACAATCCCCACCTGCTTAGTCTCTCCAGCCTCCCTGGCTAGAAACTCAACCAGATGCCCACACAACTCACCTATGTGACTCCTGCTCTTTTCAGCTGCCTCCTGAGTTACTGAGAGGACTGGCAAACAAAGCCTGCCCTTCCTGTGGTGTGACCCTCTCCACACTGGCTGCCCTTTCTCCCTGGCATGTGGTGTCATCATGGTAAAAATCACCTGGCTTCATGAATTCCGTCACCACCTCTGCTAAGTTGGAGCGTTGACATTCTTGTTCCTCTATTTATTCCTTTGTTTATTTCCTTTATTCTCACGATTCTCTCTCTCTCCAAAAAGCCTGGAAATTGCTTTCAATAAGGTTAGGAAGGGGAGACTTTTTAGGACAGCCAGAACTCAGGGATGCACTCTGCTCACAGCCACAAGAGGAGAGGGGCCTGCCCACTCCCCCATCATGGCAAGGAGCCCCAGCTACATCCATCCCAGCATCCTTCCACCTGCAGGCAGCTACCTGAGAAATCTCACCTGTGGCAAGAGGTTACTTTTACTCCTGCTGGGGGTGTGGCCAGGAAGCCGGATGTCGAAGAGGGCCTGCAGGGCGGCCTGTGCGGCCTGGCCCTTGGCCAGCTTCTTGCTGCGTCCTGAGCCTTCGAACGTCCTCCCGTCCACGCACACGGCCATGACAAAGCTCTTGGTGCGAGGCTTCTCCGCCACCTCTGAGAGGCACACGTACCGCAGGCCAGAGCGCAGCTCGTTCAGCACTACCACTGGGTTCCTCTCACCCAGGGCTGCGGGGGCCGGTCTGGCCCTGTCCGGCCGGGCCTGGCCCATGAGGTCCAGAGTATGGCAGAGTAGCCGCCCTTGCCGGTAGGCTGTGGAGAGCAGCTCGGTGTCCACAGGGCGGCAGTTTGGGAAGTCCTCGCTGGGTGCCGATGGCTCAAACTCCTTGAACAGCGTGTCTGGGAAGTCGGCCTGGTCAGAGGTGAAGTCTGTGCATGGGCTTGTGCCGCTGCCCATGGCCAGGTGGGCCTGGCAAGCATTGGGGAACTGCACGAAGGACTTCAGTGCCAGCTCTGCTGCCCGCATCTTGGCCTTCTTCTTGGTGGGCCCTGTGCCCTCAAACGTGAGTCCATTTACTTCCACAGCCACTGCAAAGACCGGGGCATGCACCGGGCCTGTCTGGGACACTATCCGGTACTGCAGGCCTGGCTTCAGCTCGTGCAGCTGGACCAGGGCGTTCTTGGGTGTCATGGACCATGAGAGCTTCTTCCAGATCAGCTGGAGTTTGCAGAAGTGGCCCCCGTTCCCTTCTTCCAGGGGTCTTTTCCTTTTTATGCTGGGTGTGCTTCCTCTGGCCCGGTCCCCTGGCGGCAGGGGCCTGGTTCCCAGGTTGCTCACATTGCGGTTTTCCTTCACTTCAGTGCTGCTGGTACCTGGAGGTGAGAACAAATTAGTCATGACCCAGGGCTCTGGCAGGTCGCCACTTGTGATAGATACTATTAGTAATGACCATGTTGTGAAACTTGAAGTCCATTCCTATGAAGTTCTTGCCATCAGTACCCTGAGCAGGGCCTATGAAGTGTGCTCTAAGGAATGGCCTATGCTGAGTGTGAGGAATGAGTTCACCTGTGGGAACCAGGTGCCCATGGAAGGAAGGACCCACATCCTTGGGGGACTTCAGAGCTGAGTTTGAGAAGAAGCAGAGAGAGGGGAGTGAGTAGGAGCATGTCATGCTCATGGCTCCCCATCAGCTGCTCCAAAGGTGGTTTGTGATGTCATTGCCCCTGTACCCTCCCTCCTGTCTGCCAGTGCCTCCCCAGAATGAAAAAGACACAGGGCCCTTCCTGGCAACATCAAAAGCCTTTCCTACAACAAGGAGATCCTTCCCTTCCCACTTGCTCTCAGGGTCTCCAGGATCAGTGCCTGATGCCTATGATACCCCCAGCACCCCAGGAAGAGGGCTCTGCTGGTGACATGCTCTGCAATATTCAGTCCCTAATTCACATGGGAGGTGAGAAAGGCCGGGGTCTCCTGAGGCCTCAGGTGGAGGGGATGGCTAGGAGCAAACCAAGTGGAGGCACACAGAAAACCACCTGTTTTGGTAGATCATTTTGTGGGCAAAAGGCACACCATCTATTTACAAGTAAAAACAACAGAGCTGAGTTGTGAGAGGGATCACATGACTCTTGAGTATGAGCTATTTACTACTTGGCCTTCCAAAAAAGTGTTTCCCAGCTCCATCCTGGAGGAACAACCCACGGGCTTTATCTAGGGCCACAGGTACATGGCTTGTTACTACTGGAATTGCCTAGGGTTTCTGAAAACTCATCACACACACCAAGTCTGTCATCCCCTGGGAACTGCACTGGCATTAGACAAAAAGTCAATGTGTCCATGTGATGGGGTGGGAACCATGGGTCTGAATGGACAATTGGGGATGCTCCAGGCAGCCAGGTTGGTGGTGACAGCAGGGACCCTGGTTGCTGCCTGGACTTGTGCCCCTGATATTCTTGCCATATTATCCAGCTAGGCAAATATTGAAAATAGAATGCTGGAGTATGCACCTAGTGGTCAGTGGTAGAGAGCACAAGCACAACTCCTTTGGAGGGCATTGTGGGAGCAGTCAATGAAGAGCATGGGGTCCATACCCTACTCAGTGATTCTGCTGCTGGGATGCACCTGACAGAAGCTTTCATGCATGGAAGCACCCTGCTTAGAGAGATTAGCATCCTTTCCAGAGATGTTCATTGCAGTGTATTGTTGCGAAATTGAAAACTTAGAAAATGCCTTAAGTTCCCACAGTTAAAGGAATAGCAATAAATTGTAGTATAATTATATTACAGAAAAATGTATAGCAATTATATCTGATAGACTATATCTATATGCTTCAATACAGATAAATCTCAGAAATAAATGTTAGGTGACAAAATCAGCTTGCAAAATAATCCATAGTAGGATATCATAAATATGAATGAGAAGAACACCAACTTTATCTATTGCTCATGTAATCACATCTGTGTGGTAAAGCTGCAGACACCTGTATAATAAAGGTACAGTCAAACTTCCCCCTGGGAAAGAAGGGAGGGAGATGGGATTAGAGGCCAGGGGGTGCCCTTATTTGTATCTGTAATGTTTCATTCTTTCTGCAAAACATTATCTGAAGTAAATTTAGCAAAATAATTACTTGTTAACTGCAGGTTATGGATGAATTTAGAGATCATTTAACTTTTCTGGACTAGCCATCTTGGGCCACTGTTTCCTGATAAAGCTGTTTTGTTTAGAAAAATCTCACTTGTGAATTACCAGATCACCTCCTGAGGGCCTGGTGCCCTTCATTGAGGAGTATGCCTCTGAAATGCTAAACTCAAGTTTGCTGTAAAATACCCTGGGAATTCTGGTAGTGAGTCATCCTGTTTTCTTTTATTCCAGACTTTGCTATGTTTCTTCTTCCTCACATCAGCTTTGGGGTTGGGTAGTAGAATCACCACCTTACAGGTGGGAAAACTCAGGATCAGAGAGGTGAAGTAGCTTACAAAGCCTATGCAGCTTAGTAATTGGCTGATATGATTCAATCCTAGGAGTCACAGGTTGCCCTCATCTGTGCTGTGGCTACAAAGTTGATTTTTATGGACCAAGTAGTTTCCCTCGTTATGTTGGCCATTGTATAGTGACACCCCTTTTGGGGCTCTTTGGAAGATCATGAGAAAGTTGAGGTCACAGTCTGCATCCCTTGTGACCAGGTGAGCTGACCTGGTCAGGCAGGACCACAGACACATTTTCATTTATGCCCTTTAGATGTGTTCTCAGGGACTGGGAGGTCTTGTCTCTGCGGCAGGTTGTGAATGAGATTTTTCTCATTAAGCAAGTGGAAACTGAGGGTAATTTTTATAGCTAACCCATAGCTTAACCACAGGCGCTGGGGACCTGGATGTTTACATGTGGTCAGATTTCCCTAAAGCGGCCTGAAAGCTGTCAGGCTGAGACCTGCTGATGCACAGGTGCTCTCCACCTCTTGGTTTGTGACATTGTTGTTGGAGGATAATAAAGAAAGAAGTACAATTTCCCAGGTACAAAAGATGCCTTTGAAAATCAGGTGACTTTGAGAGCTATGCTGACAGGTGAGCGTGTTCTTTTCGGAGTGTGCTGCCTCCTCTTAGTGAGGTTAAGCTATTTATCACACAGCCATAAGTCTCACAGGTCTCTATAGGGAGGTTGTGCCAGTAGGAGGCGCTAGGCTCTGCTTTGAAAGTGATTTCAACTTGATTTTCAACTTGTTTAATTTTCTGAATTGTGAATGCTTCTGTTACTCTCAATTTGCTTCTGAAAACCAGTAAATTTGGGGAAGTTATCTTACTCAAAAGTGTGCATCTGAGAACTTTATAGTTGTAGGTGTATAACATTCATTTACAATCCATTTCAGTAGGAATAAACAGCAAGCACTGAACCTTGACCATTTTTGTTCGTCATTATGTACTTTGGGTATACATGTACTCCGCAAGGAAGTCTACCATTAAGGGTATTTCAAGCCAAAGGGGAGCAGATCAGATTAGCTGTTGTGATTTTTCCAAACTGAACTTACAAATGGAAAAAGGAACAAACAATACAATTCCCAAACCCCCACACTAGATTGCCTGGAACTTGCTTGGAGTGCTCTAATTTCTTATTGATTTCTTACAATGTGGGGATTGAGTAAGACTGTTAGTGTGATTAAAGTGGCCAGCATATCAGATGACCTCTGTTGTATCTTAGAGAAAGGGAGCTCACAGCACAATGCTTTTCCCCTAAGCTTTCGACATTCTATGATAGCTATAATTGAGGTTTTCCATGGCACAAATCACTGTGGGGTGGGAGCCCTGTCTTAGTAATTAATAACAACCCATGGAGGGTGCAGACTCTGGTCTCTACCTAGACACTAGCCAGAGTCTCCAAGGTGGTAGCACCCCTGTTTAGAGAGATTAGCATCCTTTCCATGGGCCCATATGCACTTTCCCACATGCCCGCACACCCTAGCCCACATGTTCTAACTGGACTCTGGATCCCAGCGAGCACAGCAAAGCCAGCTGGGGCCTGGGCTCTGGTCTCTGTCCTGGGAGACTCGGGATGTGAGGAGGCTCAGTGACTGCTCCACAGGGTCTGGGGTCCAGCAGGTGAGAGAGCAAATGATTCCTTAGTCATTTATGCCTATGAGGCTGTGGGTGGTCATGAATGAGGATTTTAATAGTATTTTCCTGTAAGGTGAACAAGCATGACTACCACAGGGGACAGTTTTTTTTGATATGAGCAGGGAAATGGCGAGGTAGATACTTCTCATTTGTTTCCTTTTGTTCTCTCCCTGTTTATTTGTTTGCTGGAATTCTCCATCAATTTTTTCCAGAAATTCCAGTATACCCCAGAAAGACAGGTGAGCCATCCCCTCATCTCTGGTGTGCTGGGTTGGAGATCATGGTCTACCACCTGGAAAGCCTCCCACTCCCTCCTACATGGCCAAGCGGGGTGCAGCACTGGCTTCTCACACAGCAAAGCCCCTGTCTCTGTCTTGACCAGCGAGGCAGACATTTGTTCTCATAAACACTAGCCAGAATCTGCTGAGCACCAGTGCATAGGAAGCAAAAACCTAATCTTTTCTTTTAGGGCCACTTGGGTGCAGTGGGAGAAGCATAGACACCTATAATCCTCCTGCAGTACCACCTCAGGCCCTGGGAGAAGGTGCCAGCCGAGCTCCACCTCACAGGGTTACCCTCCCCTGCTGCGAAGCTGCTGGAAGGTACTGGAACCCAGTACCTGGTGGCCATTCCAGGCTCTTGCTGCAGCAATCCTCCCCAGGGTCTTCTCAGGCTCCTACTCGGATTTTACAGGCTAACAGTCTCCTCTTCCGTACGGAAGGCATTAAATACCTCACACTCCTCTCCTCTGACCCAGGAAATTATGCTCATTTTTTTCTCCATTTAGCTAATAGGCTTCACATACCCAATGGTCATATATAATAACCCACAGATAAAAGGTCAGGAGACCAGGAAAGCTCTCACTTGTCAATGTGGGCGAGGGAAGCTACTTATCTCCACATATGCTTGAGGCCCACCATCCCTGTGCTTCAGAACCTGAATGCAGAGGGCTGTGTCTGCACCGGGGACTCCCAGCCCAGTCCTGTACTTCCTGTCCTTGGGTCTGTGCACATACCAAGCTACACTTGGGCTGTGAGGAGACGTTGGGGACGTTTTGCTTGCTCCTGTCTTTCCTGCTGCCTGGGAACTGCTCCCTGGAGGTATGTCACAAATCTTTGCACCTTTTCTGCTTTCTCTGAGTATTT